CCTCCCCTCTCTCCCCCGCCCCCAGCAGCTTCCTCTCCCCTCCGGCCCGCCCCTCCTCCCCAGCCACCTGCTGTTTCTGCCCTGGAGAACCTGGTGGGCGGCAGGAGGGAGGAGCCGCGTGACCTTACCCCTTCACCCCAAAAGGCGAGGGGCCCCGTACCCCCCTGGAGTCCCCCAGGTCCCCCGTCCCACCTGCCTCTGATTTTTCTCTGCCCTTCACCTCCCTCTCTGTCCTTCACATCCTTCCTGTCTCCGTCCCTCTCTGACTTCCCATCTCTTCCTTCCTGAGCCCCCCGGCTGGGCCTGGGCGGGCGTGGGTGGGAAGGGGTCCGAGGTCGTCGGGGAGGAAAATGGGGGAGGCGCTCCTGACCAAGTCTCCCCACCTCCCTCTGGCTGGCCATTGCCATAGCAACTAGGGTGCACTGGGCTCCAGAGAGAAGACAAAGGTTGGGTGGGCCAGGACCTCTTGGGGAGGGCAAGGGTCTGAGGTTCTTCCAGAGGAATCGACCCTCCCACTGCGGTGCCCCCCTTTCCTCCCATTTACCCCAAAGCCATTATGCCCATCCTTCCTGCCTCCACTCTGTTTGGGGTTGCACCTGCTTTCCTCTGAGCTCCCTCCCAGGGGCTTACTGAAGCTCAGCGTTCAGCGTCATGAAATTCAGAACTACCCTCCCTCCCGTGAGAAGGAAAGTGAGGCCGGGGCAGGGAGGAGAGACTCAGTGTCTACCGGTGGGAAGCAGCACCTTAGCACATTGAGCTTCTCTTCCCAGCCTCTCCATTCCCTGTTGCCTCTCTCCCTCCCTCCCCCCCTCCCTCCTCCAGTCTCCTCTCCAGGGGTCTCTGGGCTTTTCCTTCTATTTTCAGATACTATCACTTTGCCCCCTCCTTCTTTCCCTCCTGCTGAAACTCTCCTCCTTCCCCCTAGTCCCCCCTCTTTCCATTTCTGGATGCTTCTGATGTCAGCGGTTTCCCCGCCTTCAGGTTCCCTAGGCCCCCCTTGGTCCCGGCCTCTTTTCTCCCATCTTCCCAGACTCCTGGTGAGCAGGAGGGTGATCATGCAGACGTGGAGAAATGGGGCTGAGCACCAAGACCATGGGCCCGGGAGCCTGGAAGGTTGGGGGGGGGGACTGTAATACCATATCCCGGCTTACCGTGAACCCTCAGGAAGAAACAAGTCATGCACCTGCCATCAGCAGCTCTGAAGAGAGACTCTGGGCAGGAAGATAGTGGTTGAGTGGTACTGAGCAGGGGGTATGAGAAGAAGGAACCAGAGAGTGCCAGAGGGAGGGAAAGGGGCTGAAAAGGGGTGGGAGACAGGAGGTCCGAACACCTTCTTTTCTGGAGGTCTGGAAACAGGGTTCTTATCTGTGTGGGGTGGTTGAACCGCTATCTGATTTAAGACAGGAGAGTGACCCCTAGCAATCAGGCATTTCTTTGGTTGCATGAGAAGGGGAGCACAAGAAGCCAGTTGGGGACCAGCCTAGGCCTTATCTTCGCCCTCCCCCCTTCCACATCTCATCTCTCCCTTGCAGTTTGTGCAGGTGGCTGAGCCTCACCCCCACACCCCTTGGGGGCATCCAGAAGATCCCCGACTGGTCAAGAACCAGAGGAAGAAGAGATCTGCAAGTCTGGGCATGGGGGCCAGAGCTCCCCAGCCAACCGCATAGTTGGCAAAGCAGCCAGCTTGCCTCCCCGGTCAACTACAGGGAGGGTCCCACTCAGTATGGAGGTTGAGGACCACCTCTGCTGAGCCCCAGTCTCTTCCCCTGCCCTCCACAGCTGACCTTAGCTGGGTCAGTTATGCAATGCTGAGCATTAGGGTGGGCCGAGGGGCTGCCTGCCTCACTACAGGGCAAGGACTGTGGGCATCATGGCGGTGTGTGTGAGTGGGGCTCCTGGGTGAGACCTCGCCCCCACCCCCAGGAGTTCAAAGGGGGTGGGGGGCTGAGAACAGGATGGCTCGGGCCGGGGCCGGGGCAGAAGAAGCCTCGCTGCGCTCAAACGCGCTGTCCTGGCTGGCCTGTGGGCTCCTGGCCCTGCTGGCCAACGCCTGGATAATCCTCAGCATCTCTGCCAAGCAGCAGAAGCACAAGCCACTGGAGTTGCTGCTCTGCTTCCTGGCGGGCACACACATACTCATGGCGGCCGTGCCCCTCACCACCTTCGCTGTGGTGCAGCTCCGGCGCCAGGCTTCCTCTGACTATGACTGGAATGAGAGCATCTGCAAGGTCTTTGTGTCCACCTACTACACACTGGCCCTGGCCACCTGCTTCACAGTTGCCTCACTCTCCTACCATCGCATGTGGATGGTGCGTTGGCCTGTCAACTACCGCCTCAGCAATGCCAAGAAGCAGGCGCTGCATGCTGTCATGGGCATCTGGATGGTCAGCTTCATCCTCTCCACACTGCCCTCCATTGGCTGGCACAACAACGGTGAGCGCTACTACGCCCGAGGCTGCCAGTTCATAGTCTCCAAGATTGGCCTCGGCTTTGGCGTCTGCTTCAGCCTCTTGCTACTTGGGGGCATTGTCATGGGGTTGGTCTGTGTGGCCATTACCTTCTACCAGACGCTGTGGGCCAGGCCCCGGAGGGCAAGGCAGGCCCGGAGAGCAGGGGGTGTTGGTGGGGCCAAGGGCAGTGGGCCAGGGGGCTTGGGTACACGGCCAGCCTTTGAGGTGCCAGCCATTGTGGTGGAAGATGCCCAAGGGAAGCGGCGGTCCTCGCTGGATGGCTCCGAATCGGCCAAGACATCCCTGCAGGTCACCAACTTGGTCAGCGCCATCGTCTTTCTCTATGACTCACTCACAGGGGTGCCCATCCTGGTGAGATTGGGGTCCCCCCTCCTGTTCTCCCCAAACCAGCCCCAGCACGATCACCTGACCTCCAACTCCATCATCCATCTTCCTCTCCTCTATCCATCCCCACTCCATCATCCATCTCTATCATCCATCTTCCAGTTCCCATTACCCCCAGCTCCATCATGTTTTCCAGTTCCCACTGCTGAACGCCATCATCCATTCATCCTTCAGCCTCACTACCTCTCCTCCTGCTCCATCATCTGTCCTGAGGCCCCACTATTCAGCCCCCCAGACCTATTATCCAGCAGCTGAGCTCCATTTTCCATTCCCTGATTCCCTCTGGATATCACAAGGTCTCTGAGTACTTCTGGGTGGAAACCCCAGAGAGCTCACCCCACCACCCCAACTTTTTGCATCCCCAGCTGGCCCCTACTCCTGAATGTTTCTCTGCCTTCAGGTTTCCTGTACCACCTCTGCTCCTCTCCCTCTGGACCCAGGGCTTTGCCCTGGAACTCTCCCCTGACCTTCCTCCGAGTCAATCCCTTCCCCTCTATTCATTCTGTCTCCACCTCCAACTTGGCTCCTGTCACGATCCGGTGTGACCCCGGCCATCCCTTCCTCACTTCTTTCCCACCAGCTGCACTAGGATATCGGATCTGGGGTGAAGTGGGCCCCCTGGGCTCCGGGCCCTGACGCGGCGCCATTCCCGATCCTCCCACCAGGTGGTGAGCTTCTTCTCGCTGAAGTCGGACTCGGCTCCCCCGTGGATGGTGCTGGCCGTGCTGTGGTGCTCCATGGCACAGACGCTGCTGCTGCCCTCCTTCATCTGGTCCTGCGAGCGCTACCGCGCGGACGTGCGCACGGTGTGGGAGCAGTGCGTGGCTATCATGTCCGAGGAGGATGGCGAAGACGGTCAGAAGAGGGACAGGGCTTTTTTCTTGGGCGTCGGCTCCCTTTTCTGCCCCTTTCTACCAGTTCGTCTCGGTGCGGGGACGGGCTGTCTGGAGTGCCCCCTGCTGGACGGAATCTGCGCTGCCCCTGGGCTGACTCCACGCTCCCCTTTCCCCAATCGTACGCCATGACCACAGCCACCGCTTCGTTTTGCACTAAGGGCTGCCTCCAAGGGGCGTCGGTTCCCCTCTGGAAATCCACACTATCCAGCTGTGCCTCCGCGGGGCAGAGTGCCCGAGAAGCAGTCCAGGGCCCTAACCACCGTAAAGGAAGGGTGTGGAACTAAAGGGAGGCTGAGCTTCCTAAAAGGGACCCCAGCTATAGGGACAGCTTTTGGGGTGGGGGTACGCTTGTTTCAATAAGCATGTGTATATGTTTGATGCACTAGGGATTCAGCATTGAACCAGTCTGAACCATTCAGCAACAACCCAATCTCACTTTCCTCTTGGAGCTTACAGAGTAGTGGGAACAGAAAGATTCTCCAGGAACTTACAAAGGGGGGTGGGAGATTTTAAAAGGGGGGGGGGCGGGGAGTGGTGGCCTGTAACCACTCTGCCCTTTTTCTTTCCTAGATGGGGGCTGTGATGACTACGCAGATGGCCGAGTGTGCAAAGTTAGATTTGATGCTAATGGGGCCACAGGACCAGGGGACCCCACCCAGGTGAAGTTGCTGCCTGGGAGGCACATGCTCTTTCCCCCTCTTGAGAGGGTCCACTACTTACAGGTATGGGACTAGGGAATATACCTCCTATTCTGGGTGTCCCCTGATTACTTTTCTCCAGTCTCTGTTATTCACCCCCCAACCCCCCATTCCCTAGCCCTGGTCTGCAGGGCACATAAAGAGTAGGGGAAAGAAAGGTATGGCAAGAGAAGCTCCCCTTCAGACCTCTCAGAACCAGGTTTGCCCATCAGAGGATGTTTTCAGTTTAAGGGGGCGGGGGGGGGGGTGGCGGGGTAGAGCCATCTTGCAGAGTCCCCACTTTGGCCCCTTCAGCACCTCTGGGTCTACTTGCTCCTTTCTCCAGGTCCCTCTGTCCCGCCGTCTGTCCCACGACGAGACCAATATCTTCTCTACTCCTCGGGCACCAGGGTCCTTCCTGCACAAGTGGTCATCCTCTGATGACATCCGGATCCTCCCAGCGCACAGCCAGGCTCTGGGAGGCCCTCCTGCGTACCTGGGACACAGACAAAGGCTAGAGGATGAGGAGGAGGAGGAGGCTGAAGGTGGAGGGCTAGCCAGCCTTCGACAATTCCTGGAGGGTGGCATTCTGGGATCAGGTGGGGGACACCCACAGGGGCCTGGCTTCTTCCGGGAGGAGATCACCACCTTCATTGACGAGACACCTCTGCCTTCTCCAACTGCCTCTCCGCCCTGGCCTAGGCCACTGGGCCTCTCACCCCGCCGACTCTCCCTTGGGTCCCCTGATAATAGAGCCATTGGACTTCCCTTGGGGCTGAGTGCGGGGAGACGCTGCTCCCTGACAGGAGGTGAGGAGAGTGCAAGAGCTTGGGGAGGCTCCTGGGGTCCAGGTAACCCCATCTTCCCCCAGCTGACCCTGTGAGCCCAAGTGGGCCTGTTGGACTCAGAGGAGGGGGCCTGGGTAGGTAACGCCTCCTTCTGGCCCTGAGCTTAGGGCAGCTGCCTCCAGACTCTAGGGAGATGGGCACTGGATCTGGGGTCCTGGGGCCCCTGCTTTCTCCCATCCAAGTAACCAGATGCCCTACTCACCTTCTATCACCCTTAGTAAAATGTATTAAAGTCTGAAGTGTTACCATGGAAACCTCTGTGTGCAGTGTGCTGTGGTGGCAAAGGGTATGGCCAGTGGCTTGGGGGTGGAGTGGTTTACAGAGGACAAAACAGAACAGGGGGAGTGAACAGAGGCACAGAAATACCCACGGAGAAAGACAAACAAATTTAAACATGCAAACATACACAGAGAAGGGCTTAAAAGAGCATCTCATGCTGGGGGCCTGGGGAGTCACTGGTTTGGGGTGTGAAGGATCTTTGTTCCGATCTGTGGAGGTGTTTGAGTGTGACCCTATCCTCCATGCCTCTTTCCCCGAAATCCATGCAGGGGCCCAGTTACTGGGCAGGAGAGCGTTTGGGCCTGAATTGTGCAACAGGCCTGGAGTTTGCCCTCCTCCATGCTGCACTCTGAAGCTCTTTTTCCAGGAATTGGGTGGGGGAGGGCTTGTGACTCCCTTTCCTGGCCCCAAGAGTGGAAGGGAACCCATGGGCCTCGGGTTCTGGCCCTTGCCTCCTTCTGTCCATGATTTGTTTCTTGGTCTGTTTCTCATCCCACACCACCCAACTCTTCTTTTTTTTAAAAAATATTTTTATTAACTTCAGAAAGGGAGGAGAGATAGAAAATCAATGAGAGATAACCACTGATCATCTGCCTCCTGCCTCATATTGGAGATTGGCCTGCAACCCGGGCATGTGCCCTGAAGGGGAAACAAACCATGTCCTCCTGGTTCATAGGACGCTGGGCTACCCAACTCTTCTTTTTAAAAAAAAATTTTTTTTTATTGATTTCAGAGAGGAAGAGAGAGATAGAAACATCAATGAGAGAGAACTCTTCTTTTTAATATATTTTTATTGGTTTCAGAGAGGAAGGGAGAGGGAGAGAGAAATAGAAACATCAATGATGAGAGAATCACTGACTGGCTGCCTCCTGCATGCCCCCTACTGGGCATCCCGGGCATATGCCCTGGACCAGAACTGAACCGGGACCCTTCAGTCCGCAGGCCTCTGCTCTATCCACTGAGCAAACCGGTTAGGGCTACCCGACTCTTCTTAAAGACTGCTTTCTCCATTTACCTTTTTAAAAAAAATTATTGATTGCTTTTACAGACAGGAAGGTTAAGGGAGAGAGAAACATCGATCTGTTGTTGCACCTATTCATGCACTCACTGGTGGTTTCTTGTATGTGCCCTGACCGGGGATGGAACCCCCAACCTCGGAGTATCAGGGACACTCCAACCAACTGAACTGCCAGGACGCTCTCCGCTTTCTGCCCGGCTCCCTCTGGCTTCTCTCTCTCACACTGGGCTCTCCCGGTCTCCTTGGCTCCGCTCATTCATTCCTTCTCCCTTCCTCCCCTCCTATCTCTCCTTCCTTTCCCCTCCCTCTTCCTGCCCCCTTTCCTCTCTCTCCTCCGCTCCCGCATTCTCCTTCGGCAGCCGCCGGAGGCTCGGGCACCATGCTCCGGCTCCTCCGCTTGCTGCTGCTCCTGCTCCTGCTGCCTCCCCCGGGGTCCCCCGAGCCCCCGGG